TGAGTGGGGCATGTAAGTTAGTTAGCTGGCCAGTAAGCCTTCCCATGATAGTCATGTCACCAGAGAGTGGAGGGTCCAATTTTTATCTATCTATCTATCTATCTATCTATCTATCTATCTATCTATCTATCTATCTATCTATCTATCTATCTATCATGAGGAGGTTGGGTATTTCCACACATTTCTCAGGGGCCTTGTGTTCCTATTTTCAACCTCATTTTTTAGTTTTTCAGCCAAAACCATGCCTTTGTAATCTGGGGTAAACTTTGGCTACTAAATTTCAGTGGCACAATCTCAGGTTATTTTGGAGGGTGGATGCAAATGAGGGGCTGCAGCTGCTCTTTGGTTGTCCACTCTTGCTTTAGGAGGTACAATGGAAAGGATTAGATCTGCCAAATTGCACAGAAAGACACATGTAAGCAAATGATTCAGGAGAAGGCACTTTCACTTCCTCATGATCACTGCCTTTCTCTGGAGTCCAGAACGATTATGCAAATACTTTGCTGACACTTCCTTTCATTTGCTTACCTATAACCAAAAATAAGAAATCTTTACTTTTTAGTTGTCACTCATTTTATATTGGTAAACCACCAAATCAAACAAACTCCCTGTGATTTACAAGCAGATAAAATCAAAATACCCATAAAATTATAAAGGTTCAACAGTCAATGACAAATAAAACAGTAACCATAGGCACCAGCCCCAGCATATATATCAGCAATTCTTACACCTTGAAGACCTGACAGAAAAGTTATGTTTTGACAGCTTTCTGGAATGATGCCAAGGTGGGTATCTACTGGGCCTCACCCAAGAAGACCGTTCTACAAGGTGGGGGCCGCCATAGACAACACCTTCATGTCACATATGTGTGGAAGTATTAACATCCCCATTTGGGACAGTTCCATGTGGAGGAGGCAGACCTGAAAATACCTTGGATCCAAGCTATGTAAGACTTTTTATGTTAAAACCAATACTTTGAATGGTACATGGAAACTCCTGGAACCCAGTTCAGTGCCTGCAACACTGACATTAGATGGCTGATCAGTACATAGGCTGCTGCATTTGTACAAACAGTACTTTAACTGAATATTTGTAAAAGGCAGCCCATGTAAAATATGCTGTAGTCTAGTCTAATAGTGATGAGGACATGAGTTAGTAACATCAGGGCCTCCCACTTCAGATAGGGCATCAGCAAAATATGGGTGTTGGCTTTCTTGAACCTGAACTCCACTGTCAAATACAGCAGGACTCGTAATACAAGAGGACTCCAAAATCTAACTTGCTTCATTGAGACAAGGGCAGCCCAGTCATTTATAACCAGACCTGATAGCCAGATGGTTTCTGGATATACAGCAACTTTGTCTTAGTAGGATTCAACTTCAGCCTGTTTCACTTTCACAACCTCCAGACACCAAATCTAGACTACCACAGCATCTCCAGTCTGCACAGTGTGGTGATATACAACTAGATATCAACACCTCAAACTGACACATAACCTATCCCAGCTATTTCATGTAGATGTTAAAGGATAGAGATGGAGGGGCCAAACCATGCAGCATTCCACATGGGAGTGCTCCCAAGGTCAACCTCTCTTCTCTCTCTCTCCTCCCCCCATGCAACTGCCTAGGAATTTGCAGAACCTTCCCCATAACCCTAACACTTGCAGGTAATCCAGAACCATGATCAATGGTAAAAAAAATACTGGTAAGAGGTACTAACAAAGGTGATCCACAAAAGCGACTACACCTACAGTATTTCTGTCCAATGCCCAGGCCTTAACCCTGACTGAGAGGGTTCTAGGGAACTCTGTAACTGAAGTCCCACCCACCTTTCTTGTGAAGCAGTGGTTGAAGACAACACAGTAGTTGTCCAATATATACAGATCCAGGGAAGGCTTCTTCAGGAGGACCACTCCACCACTTCTTCCAAAGCATCCAGCACAACTCACTGTACCAAGGAGACACTGAACATTTCTTGACACCAGATACTCATCCCACCCTGCCAGCAGCTGCCCAAAGGGGCCACCTGGTAGAGCTTTTATGAAAAGCACTCTATCCACTTCATCAGAGTCTACAGACCAAAATGAATCCTAGGTGACACTACAAGATGCTACTCCAGTCACCACTTCAGACACTGCCTATGAAGAGTAAAGCCTTTTGAGTTTGAGTGATTTTTCTTGTATAAACATGCCACAGTGTGGCAGGCCTTTCTATCTGCCATTTCCCACAGGGAGCAGGCTATCTGAAATAGAGGTGCTGGACAAACAACCTGCTGATACCGTAAGTTCACAGTAGTACTGATGCTTGATGCAGCCTCAGATTGTTAGTTCAGTTTTGGCTTTTTCTACTACTCCTGTCATCTATTCTATTGCTTCATCTCTCAGAGCTCCTTGTAAACCAAGGAACATCCCAGATTGGTGACAGAGGCTACTTGGGGGCAATTACATGAAGTATTCTGGTCATCTCCAACTCCAACTCTCAACAAGGCACTCAGTGGAACTGCCTGACAGATTTCTGGAAAAATCACCAAGCATTCACTGGAATCTATAAGTTACCTAGTATGAACCATCTTAATCAGCCCATCATCCCTGCAGTGGTCTTAGAAAGTAGGAAATCTAATATGGGCCAGAAAGTAATCTGACCATGGCAAAGGATCAAACTAACATCCTCCATCTTCAGATCACCCACCAACTGCTCTGAATCAAAGACAAGAACAAACATATGTCCTTTTGTATGTGACAGGTAAGAGATTACCTGGGAGAAGCTCATTGCTGCTATAGAGGCCATGAACTCCTGAGCCTTCCCAGATTTCTTCTATGCCCAGCATGGAGGTGGAAGTCCCCCAACACCAGCCCAGCAATGAAGTCCAGAGGTTCAGAAAGGGCTCCTGTAAGGCAGCAGGGCAACCAGTACATAAACAGGATGCTCAGCTTGTCCTTAGAGCTCAGCCGCACGCCCAGTCACTGTCACCCAAAGAACAGAAGCCAAGTTATCTCTCATGATCCTCACTACCCATCCTCCCCAGCTTTAGCATCACAGAATTTACAGAATTAGAGGTTCCAACATCCTTCGCTGTATACCATGTGGAGTGGGACTGCTGGGAATCATATAATTCAGTGATATCTAAAGGACACTCTCCCCATTCTAGAGATTTTTGGAGATCTCAGAGAGAATATGAGTTCTGAATAATTCCTCATCTTCTTTCTACTTGCTGGCTGTGTTGGTTAGGGCTTATAGAATTATAATGCAAAACACACCTGGAAGACACTAAATTGTCTACTGCTTATCTAAATCATGAAACAGAGAGCCCAGTTCCCAACATTGGCAGACAGAAAGTTAAAAGGTGGTAGCGTAGGGAAAGGAAGAAATTGGAAAAGAAGGGGGACAAAGGGCTTATCCAGATAATTCAATTTTTCTCCAGATATCCCATCTCTACAATTCTGTCACATATATATCAGAAAAGGTTGCCTTTGGATCACCCAGGGTAATGGAAGGACCAGCTATGACTTCCACTGACTCATCATTGTCCCAGAGCAGCCATCTCACTCAATTTCCTGAGTTCCTCCTTTGGGAAGACAGGAGTGAGGAATGTGTTCATTGAGTCAACTTTCCCCTACTATTCCCATCCAGAGAGAGAGGATAAACAAGCCACTCAAAGACAAAGGTCAAAGAGTGGGGTTACAGAGGTAAGGACTATTTCCTCTTTTCCCCTGCCTGCACTGTGTCCTGGGGAAGGTACAGCAAAGGGTCCATTCTGAAGCTGGATTTTGTAATGCTTGGTGCTGCTGTGCTATCAAAAGGAAGGGGCAACACCACAAGCCTCATCCTCTTCATTAGGCCACCCTGAAACAGCACATGATCTATTTAACTTAGCACCCTTGCTGACCTCTTTCTGGGATTATGGCATGTTTAGGAAAAAGATCACCAGTGAGTGGGAGGCTAACCCCCCCCCCCCCCCAATTGGCATGGTGCTAAAGCTACTCCATAATTCAGAATCGGCTCAATGTTGAATTGAAATTATTATTTGATCATGATGAACTTCATTAATAATTTGTCATCTGCTTAAGGAAAGTGTCACTGAAAAATGAAATAGTTGCATATTCTTTTGAAGGACCTCCTAAGACTCAGATGTGTCATACTTGACAGAAACTCTCTAGCTGAACCTTCCCCAATGTGAGCGTTTCCCCCTCTGCTGAGCTCCTACAATTTCCAGTTAGCATGCTAGTTGGGGATTCTGTAAGCATCATTCTAGCTCAGATGAAGGGTACCAGGTTGGAGAATGTTTGATTAGCTCATACACAGACATGTATGCATTCATAAGTAAAGGGATGTCTTTACTATTCTATAGATACCAGTAAAGCCTCTCTCTTTGTCTCGCTCTCCCCCTAGATTTCTTACCCACTTTTTTTTTTTTTAATCTACTCTTCTGCATTTCTTTCAATGTTGGGTAAGCTAAAGTGCCCAGGAAAAAGGGCTAAGACCCAGCAAGGCTGGGTTGGAGAAAAGCAGACACCTAGGGTTAAGCATCACTCCCTCTGTCCGGTTCCCATAGCAATCAGAGAGACATCGGTTGCCAAGGCAACAACATCCTCCTTCCCAGACAGCATCAGAGCAGAAGTACCAACTCGGCTGCGGCCAGCTGTATCTGGAGGAGTGTGTGTGTGTGTGTGTATGTGTGTGTGTGTGTGTGAGTGAGAGAGAGTGAGAGAGAGACAGAGACAGAGACAGAGAGAGAGAGAGAGAGATGCGATTGCAGGGAAACCTGAAACTCCCAGTCCCTTGGCCAACCTCCGGTCTCACATGAAAGCCTTGCATTGTTCCTCACTAGCCATTCCGACCGAGGAAGTTGGGCACTTTTCCTGAATCTTTTTTCCTGCTTTCTTTGTTTCCCCTACGATCGTTCCCGCACATCCGCGCGCAGACGGAGCGAGCCCTCAACCACGTTCCCGCCTCGCCCCGCAAGTCTCTGGAGCTCGCGCTCGCCATTCCAGCCGGGGCTACCTTCAATACAGCAGAACCTCCAGAGGCCGGAGTGGGTGAGGTCGCCCTTCACTTTTTTCGGTTGGCTTTGTGCCGTCTCGTCCGTGGCAGTGACATTGGTCCCGTTGCAGAGGTTGGCGCTCGAGTAGAGCCAATAGTCGGTGCCGATAGCGATGGTCATGAGGCTGAAGGCGGCGAAGGCACCCACCGTGGTCAGCAGCATCTGGATCCCACGGTCGCACCACACCATGGTGCTTCATGCTCCACCCGACGGGCTCAGGGGGCAGCAAGAGACAGACGCAGTCGAACACTGCCTACCCCCCGCCGCGCCCGAGCAGCGGCTTCCCCTCCTTCCCGCTCCTCTTTCTCCCCCTCTCCTCCCTCCTTCCATCTACCCAGGACGTAGCAAAGAAGCCGAGACATGGGCGGAGGGGAAGGGAGGGCGCGCCAAAAGATTCGCGCCAAAGCACAGCCAAAAAGAGAACAAAAAAGTGGCCTTCTGAAAGGTCTCCGCCCTTTCAGGGGCGAGAGGAGCCGCGACGTTGCCAGCCGGTGCCCCTACCAGCCACTTGGGCTGCTTTGCCTCGTGGCAGTCCCTCGCCTGTCCGCGGGCGCTCTCTCCAGCGTGCAACGCGCACAGCGGCACGCGCCGCGAG